TTTAATTTGGGATGTTTAAATTTCATTGTCCACATTTTTTTAAAAATGTTATTTAATGCACTTAATCCTGTTTTATCCATATTTTAAAAATAATAATTAGAATATATATTAAATAATAAAGCTTATTTAAGTGATTATTAATTAGAGAGAAATATGAATTTTATCAAGTAATTATTACATCCCAATTTATTAGAAAAAAAAAAAAACTGAGTCTACTAAAGTTGAATGGAATGAGTAACTAACAACATAATTTTGGGACAAAATAGTTAATTAACAATGTTTAAATAAGGCTATGTTTGTGGTTGTAGTTTTTGATTTTTGGTTTTGGTTTTTAAAATTTTAAAAACCTTAAAATAAAATTAACAAATTTTATAAATTTATTAAGTTTTCAGTGTATTAGTTCTAAAAAATTCATATTCAATAAGTTTGATAATTTTTAGTTTTTAATTTTTAATTTTAATTGCTAATTTTGAATCTTTAACTTTTGGCAAGTAAAACTAAAAACCAAAAATTACAATCACACAAAATGAAGCCTAAGTTCAGTAGCCAAAATGGGACCAACTGACTAGTTGAGAGACAAAATGGGACATCAAACCTACGACATCTTATGTTTTAAACTGTCTATATAATTATCAACATAATGAGAGAGAACCTACCTGGCTAAAAGATCAGCATCACCAATCCCCAACATCCTTACTGCAAGTAATCCTGCATTTGTTGCATTGTTTATTGCAACTGTTGCAACCGGAACACCTCTTGGCATCTGTGTCATTTGACAAACAAAAATCTTATGAACAACAAATGACTAATTACTATCGAAGTGTTAAGCTTGCAATCATTACATAATCTACACTCATAAATAAACTTCTGAAGGAAATGTTATCTGTGATTACCTGCACAATTGATAAGAGCGAATCAATTCCATCCAATACAGTGGCGCGAACTGGGACACCGATAACTGGTAAGGGAGTAAGTGCAGCTACCATACCTACAATTCAAACCAGACATCTGCATCAATGAAACACTGAGAGCATTATGAAACAATATCAAGCAGTAATTTGATATATATGTAACTAGCCTGGTAAGTGGGCTGCACCACCAGCACCAGCGATGATAACTTGGACGCCCCGCTCCCGGGCAGAGGAGGCATAGGAAAACATCATTTCAGGGGTCCGGTGAGCCGAAACAATTCTCACCTGCAAATTTCATTTATTAATCACAGAGGCGTTAGGCCAAGAAGGGGTTCAATATATATGTGGTCTATGTAATAAAAAGATTACCTCGTGGGGCACACCAAACATATCTAGAATTTTTGCAGCATCCTTCATTACCGGAAGATCTGAATCAGAGCCCATTATAATTCCAACACGTGGCATCACTGCATAAAAGAATATAAAGGGAAGAGGAAAAAGTTAACTACCAATATACTCAACTCTTACCAGTGTCCAATCCTCTAGGAAATAAAAAACAATTCAATAGATTGGCATGCAGTATCATCATGGACCCTCTCCTATTAGCTAAACTATTTTTACCGGCAATTAAGTAGAAGAAAAAAACAATTCAGTTCTTTTGAGAAGCATATAACAATCAACAATGGTTTCTGCAACAGTGACTGTACAAACGATTCAACAAATTAAAAAAATTTTGCTGAAGGGAATGCCACAAACAAAATACAGGCATCTAATAGCATTTCAGTTCATTGTGCAAGTGTGTCCTTCCTGGACCTTCCATTGCAAGAAGATTAACAGGGTGAAGCAAAATCATACAGGGCATAGGACTAAGGGTGATCATAAAGCCATTCTAGGATAACTGACCTGAACTCAATTTATCAGAACCTTCCTCATTCAGCATTGATTTTAATCGTGCTTCCACAACACCCATAGAAGGCCCAACAATTGTTATATGGCCCATCTTCCGTTGTTTTCGCATCTCTGCCAAATCATTACAACAATTAGCCAGTTTTGATTTGTTACTTAGAAAGAAATTTTGTGTTAGCTAATTTTGTGGGAGGGCAGATTATGACCATGATGACACCAAAAGGCAAAATCTGACCTGGCTTATCATACCAATGAGCTGTAGCGCCTGAAATACCCAATGCTCTTGCAATCAGTTGATGGGCCAAAATGAAACCAGGTTCCCCCTGTTATATAAAATTTAGTAGGAATCCAAATAAATCAACTAATTTGTGTTCCATTGCCATAGGCACAACATCAAAAGTTCCGAAAGGTTTTCACATGGGAAATGTAAGTATAGTATTTTTAACTTAGAATATGCTCCATACACTAAATTGTACATTTATCATTCTTTTTTAATGGTCAACACTAAATATATATGTAGATATAACATTATACAAAAATGTGTTTGCTCATGGACCAATGCCAAACTGAAAATATCAATTATTAAGCCATCAATAAAATTTATAAGCCATTAAGCCAACTCATTTCATTGAAAGAGAAAGGAACAAACAAATGAACTTAAAGGAGAGAAATTCACCTCTTCCTCACCCAATAGGTTGTACATGATGGCAGATGGAGTTTTCATGGATGGATCACCAAGAGGAAGACCAACAACAGCCCGTAGATGTTGTTCAAACTGGGACGTGTAGCAAGACTCAATTGTATGATGACCACTATTGTGGGGTCTAGGAGCTACTTCATTTAGTAGAACCTATTAACGGTTCAAGAACAAATAGATTAATCAAATACAGTTTCGTGAATAGCAAAACAGTTCAGAAAAGCAGCAGAACAGCACCTGACCATCACCAGTCAAAAACAACTCAACTGCAAAGACACCAGCACCTTGCAGTGAGCTAACAGCTTTGTATGCAACATCAGTGGCAAGTGTCCTGATCTTCCAAGGCACATCAGCAGGTGCCTTGACTATGTGACATATATTTTCCCTGGAAGAACCAAAAGACCACAAATCATGTATCGAGGAAATGTAGAGCTCTAAATAATTTGATGAATTATCATAATTGGAATTTAAATAAAGAGAAATAGAAACACCATAAAAATATTAATGATGAATCAACATTACACCTGTGAATAGTCTCAACAACAGGATAGCACACGATAGAGTTGTCTCTTCCTCTAGCCACAATGACAGCTAGCTCCTACAGTTATTGAACATAAGAAAAAGACAAAAAAACCTTTAGTCCACGTTAAATACCAAAGGTAAAAAGAAAAAAAAAAAAGGCCAAAAGACAAGAAACGTATCTAGAAGTTAAAATAAGATAGAGTAGCATCTAAAAGTACCTAGTCAGATATGTTCAAGAAAAACACCCCAAAACAAAGTCATTCCAATAAAGCACCACATTAAAAACTAAAAGCAGTCTCATTACTGCTGTAAAAATATTTTATTTGTCTCTTTCAGTGGAGTTCATTGTAGTTTTAAGGTGTTTTCCCGCTTAATTTTTTAGAGGTCTGGCTAATAAATACTTTTCTCATATATATATTCCAATTAATATTTTGAAAAACCAACCCTTTGATAAAAAAACTCTATTTTACTGACATATATTTAATATTGTTAAATTTTGTGTAATCAATGAAGTAGTTAGGCTTACTAGAACAATCAGAAAATTAGCATGCATTATCTATATGAATAAAAATTTCAATCCAATAGTTGACTTTTCAAAATATTAATTAGAAGATGAGTTTTTAAGAAAATGACCTGCAAAACACATTTCCCACATACACACATTTTGGCCGTTTTCAATGGAAGTTTATTGAAACAATAGTTTTTCCTTATATTAAATGCAATGAAAATTATGGATGTGTAAGAATTTCTTATTCTTAACATGTCTATTAATATCCTAAATATTGTGTACGACATCTCCACAAACATCATATTTTAATTAATATTTTTAAAAACTAACCCTTGGATTGAAAATTCTATTCATATAGATCATGTCAATCTTCAAAATGATCTAGTAGGCATAATTAGTTCGTTGATTGCACAAAATTTAACACTGTTAAATATATATCAATAAACAAAGTCTCTAAGATCAAAGGGTTATAAATGTCATATCAATTTGAAAATTAACAAACATGATCTACATGAATAGAATTTTAAATCTAAAGGTTTTATTTTGAAAAAATTAATTACAAAGTGAGTTTATAAACAGGTCCAAAAATAATTTGAGGATGGCACATACTACACTAACCTTATATAGAGTCAGGATCCACTTACACACAACTCTTAAACTTCACATATACAAAATCTTGACGATTCATCTCTCTACTATGAATGGCTGAGATTTACAATGACTTTTTAGACAGAAAAAACAATTATCTATAAAAAATAAAAATAAAAAGTGACTAAATTTCAACCATTCATGGTGGAGAGGTGAATGGTCAAGATTTTATCTAAATGATATCTGTAAGAGTTGTGTAAGTGGATCCTAATATATATATATACCTCAAAATGAAGAAAGAGAGCTTTGCCTGCTTACAACTCAACTAGAGAAACATGCTTGTAGCAACAAAACAAGTCAAACAACAAAGTATCGTGCTTAAGGTTTTTATTTAAGAAAAATGTACAGCAAAGCAATGAAGTACAATGATAACTTAACAAACTAATTCCATTAAATTGTAGGATCAACATACCCTTTGCATCCATTTAATTGTATGCCAAAATATAGGTAATGTAATTATTATTTCCAACCATGTGGTTTTATGTACAGATCCAAAATCTAAATAGACTACATTTGTTACAAACAGTACAAATTTAAAATCGAGCTTTGTGTAGCTTCATAATTTTTTTTTCCAAGGCGTATTAGCAATTTTTATAAAATCATAGCAAGAAATTGCACAAATTGGACAGTTTTCATTGTTCTTGCAAATCTGTTGAGTAAACTTTTAAATTGAATGGGAAACTTTCAAATGGTATTACTTCAATAAACATATAATATTATACCACTTCAGAAGCAAGAATATCTTCTTGATTTATAAAAAATCACTAGGATATTACATGGAAAGAATGGCAAGTAAATAATCATAAGTTAACAGCATATACTAGACACCTACCTTTACAAACGGAGCCCATTTCTCAACATATAAACCATGACTGAATCCACCAAGAGCTGCAGAAAGGAAGACAGATTTTTGACAAACAAACGGAAACTAGGAAGTTATTAATCAAAGCTAGACAATGGATTAGAATCATAAGGGAAAAAATAACAGGAATAGAAGGTAGAATAACAAACCAATCATGGGTCCAAACTACATTATTATTGAATGAATGATAAGTAACAATTTGGCTTTACAGGCTGAAGCATATATTGAATAAAGCTAGGATGAGTTTAGCAGAATTTGAATTGCAAGGGAAGCCCATCAAGAGTGGACCCAAAGTCATCAAAAAGAAAAGGAAGACATGAATCCTAAATTATAAGCAGAGAAACTGGAAAATCTATCATAAAGTATTAAAGTGTTGATTAGGCCCAATTTACAGATGATGTTGACTAGTATTATAGTTCTCTTAGTTGTGGCCCCAAATAGGAAATAAAAATTAAATGGGCCACAGTTTAAAATGTTGAGTTCCAGAAAAACATAAGTATATGATCCATGATACTCGATCCTTAAATAATAAACAACTTACCAGAAATGGCAGAAGAAAGCTCTTCTTCACTCCTTGCAACAGCATTTCCACGGCCATCATAAGCTAGCCTCTTGCTCTTGATCATAAGAGGATAACCAAATAGATTAGCAGCTTTCTTGGCTCCTTCAAGATCATTTATCTGTCTAGGCCATATTTGAAGTAAATATGTCAATCTTTTACAATCATTTAGAAAAAAAAAATGTACAAGGAAAGTATTCAACCTGCATAAACTTGGGAAGTGGAATGTCATTCTGAGAAAAATGAACTTTTTGAAGATATTTATCCTGAGAAGAAATTAAAAAAAAAAAAAAATTGTTTTCATTTGTATAACCTTCATTGGTGGAATCACGATACAATTTCACATACAAAGACATCTTTAAACTAATGGAAATGCAAATAAACAATAGACAACATATAAAGTCTCTCTATACCATAATTCTGTAAGAAGCTAACCTTGAAAGAGAATGCATATAAAAAATTGAACCTAGACAATATGGTACTTAAACCCCTTTTCAATATTTAGCTCATTAATCTAAAGTATAATAATTATTGACACAGTTGGAGGTAGTAGTCGGAACTAAGAAAACAAGAAAAGAAAAAGTTCTCACTTTGCCTGGTGACATCCAACTCATTTAAACCAATAATATACAGAAATTCTCAAGATGTTGGGGAATACCTCAAAGTTAATCTCTGGAACTTGTCAAACTACCTAATGACTTACTTGGATTATACGAATAGTAGAAGCTTTTGGTTGGCAATCTACTCCTTGTTTTTCAAGCCTTTCCAAAGTCTCAGCATCAACATGTTCAATTTCAACCGTCAACACTCCACATCTAACAAAAAATAAATCTAACAACTCTTAGAGAAAAAAAAGGCAGAAAATGAATAAAAGGGTACAAAATAAATCACCAAAGTCGACCTCTTTGCAAATTCCTCAACAGTGGAACTGTCGTCAAAACTTCCAACCATGTGATGATAAGCAAGAGCACTAGCCGGACAGTTCTCTGATGGGTCCAAAACCATTACTTTAATGGCCATTTGTGAAGCTGCCTGACAAAGCATACGACCCAATTGCCCTCCTCCCAGGACCCCAACAACCATCTCACTCAGGCCATGAACCGATAAATCATGCTTGCTAAACACACAAAAAAAAAGAAACACATTGTCGAGCCATAGAGAAACGTTTCAACCAAGATGCAAATACAGAACAAGAAAACAAAAATTACCCAGTTTCAAAACCAAACAAGAAAACGAAAATGGAATTAGAAAACGACTAACCCGTGGGAAGTATGGTCAGTATTGAGAGATGCTTTACAAGCAATAACGGGATTGTTCATGGGCATGGTGAAGGATAGACAAGTCTCTGTTCTGGTACACGACAGACCGCGACGTTCGAAGCAGAAACAATAAGGGATAGTTTGAGAAAATACTGAGCTCCTGATGGGTTGCAGCATTTTCTTGGAGGAATCGAGGTGGGAAGAAAGAACGGAGGTCGGCGGCAGCGGTAGCCTGCTCGCAGTATCGCTAATCGCTAGGACTAATTCCCGCCCCCAGCCAACCCTACCCAATCTGGAAGGAAGTCTAGATGAGCACTAATACGCCAGTAGCTAAACTACACAATTCACACAGGAATACGAATACAGGAAAATGGGGTGTGGCTACGGCCACATTAAAAGCGTTTTGACACACAAATATAAATTTTTTTTTTTTTTACCTTGATTTCATGAGAATTAATTATCTCTGGTATTTTATCTTCCTTCACTAATATATCATATAATTTAAATTTAAAATTTTTAATTTAAAAAAAATACCTACAAAATTATTTAATTCATTAATAATATAATTATTCTTCCATAGAAGGAAAAATTAAAAGGTTTTTTTTAACATAATTACAATTTTGAGGGTTCGAACTCCAAGCCTATCTTTGAGAGAGTATTTTACTATGAGATATATAGTTATTGAGTTATGAAGTCTAAGTGTGAAAAAATTAAAAGTGTTTTGAGATTAAAAATATAAAAATATTTATTAATGTTTACATAATAAATTTACTGAAATTAAAATTTATGATGTATTTTATATATTTAATGATTCTTAAATGTTTTAATTTTTCTTTTTCTCAGTAATTAATTACAACATTTTAAAATATTACTTTATAAATTAATTTTACTATATTAATAATAAATATAAGTGAGTTCACCATCAGTTGCCTAATGCTCATTAGCTTTTTTTAGAGTTAAGTTAAATTGAGTCAGTATTTTAGAAGATAATATATAAAAAATTTGTATAGTCTTAATATTTTTAAGTGTGATCATAATCATTGTTAATTAAGACACAAATTTTTTCTATAAATTTTTATATAAGTTTACATATGATTTAATTTAATTCTTTTTATTTTACTAAAATAAATAATATTGTACCAATTTACTCATTTAACTTCTAAAAAAGCAAATAATACGTAATAGAGATATGTGTTTAAACTTCTTGAGGAAATTTATGGATAAAGTGATGATATGAAAGAAACATGAGAACATGGACATACAATCCATCTTGCCATTCATATGAGAAATGCAAAATCTGTGCATGTCCTTTTGTTAGTAACAAGAGGAAAGACAACAGCTAAGGCTAAGTCAATGGCAAAGGCTAATGTGATTACTTTAAAAAGTGAATGGCAAAAACTTTCAAAGTTAACTCCAAGGGTAGCTCAATAATTAACTTGAGATTTTAAATTATAAGTTTTAAATTTCAACTTTAAATAAAGAAAAAAGAAAAAAAAAAAAAAAAGAAAATAATTTAGTATAATACAATACAACAATATAAAAAAAAAAAAAAAAAAAAACAAAAAAACAAGAGGAGAAGCAAAGCATAGGGTCACGGCACGCTAAAAAAATAAACTCTGACCGCAAGGCAAAGGACACCCCACATTAAAATTAATCTCATGTTCAAGTCTAATGCCTCATTTATTATTATTCTTAAAAATTACACAGTCTCTCGATATGCTAAATAATTAACTTTATGTTTTATATAAGAATAATGAAACCACAGCTTGAACAATATAATTCACTCTTAAAAGTCTTGAATCACAAACTACTAAAAGTTGATAATTTCTCAAAAAAA